GGGCTAGTGAATCCCTAGATTAAAGTGATACTCAGGATAGAATGTCAACTATCAGTTTTAATTTTGCTGATGCATATGGGGAAATTCCATAATCAGACTTACCCATGAACCCCAGAGATAAAAGAAAATTTAATCAATTAATTGTAGTTTGGAATTAGTGGCTGTTTCAATATATCTAATCACAACAAGTAAGCATCCCACCCAGACGCATCCCCCTATAACCCACCTAATGTACACATCCCTGAACACTATGGGTAATTTAGCATGGCAAATGCACCTAGCCCGCACATCTTTGGACTGTGGGAGGAAACCAGAGCACCCGGAAGAAACCCATGCAGACACGGGGAGAATGTGCAAACTCCACAGACAGTCACCTGAGGGTGGATGGTTATAGATTTAAAATGGATGTCTGTGGGCAGCAGCTTGCAAGTTTGCAAATACACAGAGCACCCAAACTGAAACATTTGTATCAAAAGGCCATATGGTTCACAGGCCAAGCTGCAGCCTTTCTTTTTACCATGACAAGTTTTGAATTTAACCGAATTTGAACCAGGCACTTAGATAGCAAAAACCAATTAAATTTAAATCTGATGGTTTTGACAACCGAGGACCAATCCTATTGAAGAAATATTGATATGTCATCAAGGTATAAAAGGGGGCTGTTGGACAAAGACCAGAGCTAACAACCGTCAGCTCTCGAGAGAATCAATGGCACTCACAGTTTCCTCTAAGTTTTGGAGAAAGCACCATCTAAATAACAAAGGTACCAATAGCACATCTAGTGAATATTGCTGACAGAAGAATCGGTGGAGAAGGCACAGAGCATTCCAGAAGACATGTAACCTGGCTACAATTTTGAGGGACTAAATTCTATTTTTATTTTATATAGGTGGGACTTGTATTTACTGGAACAGTATACCATTAGAATCTTGTTTTATTCAGGAATATTTAGTAGTTAGAAGTGATTTATTTGGTTGTTTATTAGTTTAGTTAATTTGTTCACTATTAGAGTTAGATAAATAAATTGTTACTTGTTGATTTATTTTATTTAACCACTAGAAGTTGCTGAAAGGCAGGTTACATACTTTACACACTCATTTTACAGATTAGAGGGTGAGGGGCTCTTCTTTGGGTGCTTCAGTTTTAGTTCTCAGGAGGGTGTCAACCTCTGCTTTACAACAGTAGTTAGCTATATCACAAAAATGTAGATAGGTAGTTAGCTATATCTCACAAAGAACCTCAGGCATCTCTCAACATTAGAGTGATAATTGGTTGCATAGCGTGAGAGCCACCAGTCCACATTAAGCACACACAGAGCAAAGCACAAAGAAGGCCTCAGTAAACAATCACAGCTCTTGCAGGGATTGAACCCATGCTGTTAACATTATCATGTCCTACACTCAACTCTTTAGCTAACAGAGTCCCACTGTACAGAAGAATTATCCAAGAAATTGTTTACATAGCTGGACATGAACAATTTGGTTAGAGGCATCTGACCTCTTCAGCTGAATGTTAAGTGGGTTTGAAGCAATTACTGTCTCTAGTGTACTCTTTCTTAATATGAACTGGCTTCTGTGATTCTGGGACTTCAAAATTTCATTTACAGGATAAGGGTGTCACTGGCTTGGCCAGAATTTATTGCCTATCCTAAATCCCCAGAGGGCAGTTGAGACACATTGCTGAGAGTCTGGAGGGATATGTAAGCCAGACCAGATAAGAATGGCAGTTTCCTTCCCTAAAGGACACTAGTGAACCAGATGGGTTTTTCCAACAATCAACAATGGATTCATGGTCACCATTAGACTCTTATTTAAACCCAGGTCCCCAAACATTAGCTGGGTTTGTAGATTAACAGTCCAGTGATAATACCACTAAGCCATAAGGCTAAATAGAACAGGCTGTGCCATGTTTTGGGATGAAGGCGTTTGTAAACTCTTTAACCTTGTATTTTGAACTAGTGTTCATGTTTACATTAGGATACAGGAGTTACTGCAGCTTTACATCTTCACTCTATATCAAAAGGTTAACATTGTCAAAGAATAGCAGATCTTGGCAAGCCATTTATCCTTCCTGTTAAACTAGCAATATTGATTACTACAGCGCTGTTCCTGATATGCAGAAGTTCAGTCTAAAACATAATCATCTGCTGGTCTCAATGTTGTGCCATGCATTAAATCATCACAAATTTGTAATTTACTAAGTGAAAAGCCTCATAGTTGCCTTCTGTTTCACTTTATTAAAACGAATGATTTTCGTACAAGTCTTCATTTGTATTCAATTAACTTTCCCTTTTCATAAGTTTTGGTAGTAATTGTAAACGTTAATATAAAATTAAGACTGGTTACATAAACATGCACATAAATACATCAATTCCTAGTTTAAATACCTACTGATCATAATTTAATTGTATGCCTTTCACCATTAGGGAGTTCTGTTGCACTCTTTCATTAGACTTTCACGTACTGTCTCCAGTATGTCTCGAAGCAGAATAGCCTCTTCTAGTGACAAACAACGGTAACTAAAGCTCATAAAAGGCTAGAGAAGCAAAATAACAATATGGAAGTAACACAAAAAGTAAGCAGGGAGAGTTATTTTATTCATTTTGTGGGATATGGGCATTGCTGCCTGGCCAGTATTTATTGCCCATCCCTAGTTGCCCTTGAGAAGGTGGTGGTGAGCTGCCTTCTTGAACTGCTGCAGTCCACCTGCTGTGGACTGAACAACAATGCAATGAGGGAGGGAATTCCGAGATTTTGGCCCAGCAAGAGTGAAGGAACGGCGATATGTTTCGAAGTCAGGATGGTGTGTGACTTACAGGGGAACTTGAAGGTGGTAGTGTTCCCATATATCTTGTTACGAAGTGGTGTAGACTACTCGTAAATTGGAAGGCAGAAAGCTAGAATTTGTTTGTAAAGGTAATAGGGAGGAAAAAGTTGGTAGTCCCTTTAAGAGGTTAGGTGTCTTTTCTGCACTTAGAGATTTTTAAAGCAGCAGCTGGACGGTGCTGGTATAAAAAGTACCCAAAACTAAAACATTTATACTGAAAGGCCAGGCAGCGTTATTTTAAAAAAAAAACAAGTCTTTTCAAATTTGGCCAATCAAGTCCTTCGATATTAAAAACCTATCATATTTAAAACGGATGGTTTTAGCAACCCGAAACCAATCATGTTACATGAAATTGATGTGTTATCGGGGGTATACAGGACGAGGGTTTTTGAAGATCAGGAGAGAGCTAACTGCCAAGAGACAACAATTTTTTCTGCTCTCAGAGAAAGCACCATCTAATTAAAACGGCACCACTGCATTTCTCTAGCCAAAAGTCCTCACAGAAGGAATTACAGAGAGCATCCCTGACAGCAGAATCAACAGCAGGAAGACATTTGTGAAGTGAGATTGACAGAAGGCTGGACAAAGCAAAGTATTCCAGAAGACAGTCTGTGTGAACTTGGACATATTAAGTTTTAATTTATTGTTGTCTTATCAATTGGGTTTATATAAGTGGGACTGGTGTTTATTTGAACAGCTTTTTAGTAGAATTTAGACCATTTAGGGAACAGGTGGTAGTCTGGGAGGAATTATTTGGTTTGTTAGTAATTTTGTTGATTTGTTCATTGTTAGGGTTAAATATAACTAACAAGAAAAAATTTATTTATTGTGGATGGGATCGTCTTTTTCTTGCTTTTAACCACTTAACAGGTTACGAGGAGAAAGGCAAGTTTCTCTGGATGTTTTGAGGGTAGTTATTAGAAAGGAATCTCTACTCCCATCATAACAGATTGAGGCTTGTGTTTTGGTTTAATTATCAGAGAGGTTCAGCCATTTCCCCTCTGAAACAAAATGCTACCCTCGTCCTCCTATATGGAAGTGGTTGCGGATTTGGAAGGTGCTGTAAGGATCTTTGGCGAATTTCTGCAGTGTATTTTGTAGATAGTACACACTGCTGCTATGGAGTATCGATGGTGGAGGGAGTGGATGCTTACGGATGCAGTGCCAATCAAGCGGGCTACTTTGTCCTGGATGGCATCAAGCTTCTTGAGTGTTGTTGTGACTGCACTCATCCAGGCAAGTGGGGAGTATTCCGTCACAGTCCTGACTTGTGCCTTGTAGATGGTGGACAGGCTTTGGAGAGTCAGGTGGTGAGTTGCTCGCTGCAGTATTCCTAGCATCTGACCTGCTCTTGCAACCACTGCATTTATGTGGTGAGTCCAGTTGAGTTTCTGATCAAAGAAAACTCCCAGGATGTTAAAAGTGGGGGATTCAGTGATGGTAACACCATTGAATGTCAAGGGACAGTGGTTAGATGGTCTCTTGGTGACGGTCATAACCTGGCATTTGTGTGGTGCATATGTTACTTGCCACTTGTCAGACCAAGCGTGTTCTTGGTGCATTTGGACATGGACTGCTTCAATGTCTGAGGATTCACGAAATGTTGCTAAACACTTTGCAACCATCGGCGAACATCCCCACTTTTCACCTTATGATGGAGGAAAGGTCATTGATGAAGCAGATGAAGATGGTTGGGCCCAGGACACTGCCCTGCGAACTCCTGCACATCATCTTATATGTCAGGTATGACAGACCACGAGAGTTTCCCCAATACCCAGATTTCCTTTCCTGAAGGACATTAGTGAACCAGATGCGTTTTTCTATCACTGATTTCATAGTAAGTAGATTTTTAATTCAGATTTTTTTGTTTTAAATTGAATTCAAATTCTACCATTTGCCACGGTGGGATTCAAACCTGGTTCCCCAGAACATTATCTGGGTCTCTTAAAATAGTCTACCGATATACCACTATGTCTTCACCTTTCCCAAGACGGAAAGTTAAAATGTAATACAAGCACATCACATCAGTCTCATTCACAAAAAAGATCCAAGAAAACACCAAAAAAGACACAGAAGCAAAAGAAATCGCAACAAAAAGAGAGCACCACAAGATGATGTACACACCACAGAAAGGAAAAGACAACAAAGAACATGCAAATTATCCTGCAACTTACTATTAACAAAATGGCAAGATTTATTTATAAACTTAGAGAATTACAAGGTTTTATCATTAGAAATGAAAAATGAAGTTTGTTTCATTGACCTCAGAGATTTCAGTGGTAAATACGTCATCCAAAAATAAGGCCAATGGCATTTTCAGCAGATCTGGAAGCTACAAATAAAGTAACAAAATACCTCCCAAAAAGCAACCATATAACTGAGATAACAAGGTGTAGAGCTGGATGAACACAGCAGGCCAAGCAGCATCAGAGGAGCAGGAAGGCTGACGTTTCGGGCCTAGACCCTTCTTCAGAAATGGGGGAGGGGAAGGGGGTCCTGAAATAAATAGGGAGGGGGAGGCGGATAGAAGATGGATAGAGGAGAAGCTAGGTGGATAGGAGACAGACCGGTCAAAGAGGTGGGGATGGAGCCAGTAAAGGTGAGTGTAGGTGGTTTTTTGACAGCCAGTGATTGTAATCAGGGAGGAAACAGGAATGGTATGGGGACAATGGATATAATGCATCCTTGTCCACATCATGACCATGAGATGGAGCAAAGGCAACAAGAGAAGGAATTTGCCAAAGTGTGGATAAGAGGAGGGCTCTGCACAGAAGACCATACCCATAAAGAATTTATCAAGAGCATTCCCTTACCTACCTCTGACCCAAGGATTGTTTGTTTAAAAATAACCTATCACCATGTCTGGGATTGAGGCCAACGACATCAGTCCTTCATACACACCTAACTTTTCCACATCTTCTCCCACCTCCCCCCCTCAACCAATTAAGACAACTAACCAAATCATTAGCTCATGCAGCAAATTGGCTATTAGCCTCATTGGTGTTAATGTTTGATCACAGAAATGTCATTATCTTTGAGCTTTAAATTGCATTTTCTACTTGCAGTAACATGAATATCTACCAGCACCCATACATGTAACTCCATTTTAATAAAAGCAAGTTATCATGAATGCAGATATTTGCTCTTGTATGCTAACACTGCTCATTATTTCAGCATCATTTTCAAAAGCAAAATAATCTTGGCTCCTTTTCTCTCTTGCAAATTGCCTGTTTAAACCTCTGTACCCTCCACCTTCTCTTTCAATACTAAGTGTAAGGACCCCAAAACTTCTGTCACAGAGATAAAGATCATTCAAACTCTGCCGCCCCTGTATTAACTTTCACCTAGTCCCATTCAACTACTTTCCTTGCATTCACAGAACTGCACTGGCATCTAGTCAAGCAACATGTTGATTTTAAAATTTTATTTCTTGGTTTTCAAATTTCTCTATCACTTATCTTAATATCCATAATTTCTTACCACTCCAGAATTCACTGGAATACTGCAACTTCCTCTCAACCACAGCCCTTTAAAATACTGTAATCCTCTTAACTCACAACCAGAGTTATCCACTCTTCTTTGGTCATGACCATACCTGATTTTAATATCTCCATCACTGGAGATCGCATTGTCAGTTGCCCAAGTCCAGAATACCCTTGCTGCCCCTTTATATTCGTTTCTTCCTTTAAGCCACCCTTAAACCTCTCTCTGACTGAACATTTGGTCATCTGACTCAATACCTCCTAACATGGCTTAGTGTAATTGTTTTGTTTGTGAAGCACCTTGGGATGATTTATGTTTGCAAAGACTTTTAACATAAGTTGTTGCTTCTACCAGCCTCTCAAATGTACAATTTCCACCAGAATTCACTGGTGAGTGGTTACATGTGTAAAGCTGCCCCTATCACCTAACCACTTTGGAGGGTCACCAAGGTCAAATGCTTTACATACGTTGCCCACCGATCTGCTAAACTGCAAACCAAGACCAAACTAAATACCTAACGGGTGAAGAAGCAAACCATACCTTGGAGTAACTCAAGATTTGTTTTATAAGTTTGACATGTAGGAAAATGGAAAATTATTATAAAGTCATAAGTAAGCATGAAATTGTTTTTTAAACCTTAATTACATCATACTTTGCCTTTATATCATGCATTTTCATTGCTTAAAAAAACAGTATGAGTGACAAATCACTTGCAGAAAACATTTATACAGGCAGTAGTATCTCTAACATTCATCTTAATTATATCAATTATTGAAATTTATACCGTTATACATCTACCAATCATCTTTTTCCACATAACAAAAAGATATTCCCAATGCTTTACTCAAGCATTCAAATATAAATAATTGAGAGATCAACTTAGCAAGGTTTTAATAATGCTTCCACTACATGCATGGTCTAAATTGTGCAATCAAAATTGTACTATAAATTTGAACTCCTATTTCATCCCATACTTAGAAGCACTTATTCTTTGGGCTTCCATGTGATTTATCATTCTTCCTCTACAATAGATATTTAACATCAAACAAATTTCTCGGATAGAATCCCTATTGAAATCTGGAAATAATATTGCAGGTCAGACTACGAGCGGTGGAACATGACCACTTGATGCATCCAACTTTATTTTCAAATGTGGTTCTCATCACACCATTTGATATTTCCAACGGTGTTGTCTTAATTTGAGATTGCTGCTGGACAAGGTTCTCGAACAGATTTTTGGAATATAAAGAATGAACTGTTCTTAAATACAAACAATTCTGTTAAAATATGGTTAAATTAGAAAAGTTCCATCCAAAACCTTCACTACCTATTGCAAATCCCGATCGACACAGTATATTATATTTGTCCTAGAAAAATACCTCCTTTAAAAACTTGTTTTACTAAACAATGAACAGCAAAATTTACTGTCAATACTTAGTGCTCAAGATTTAAAATTTGGAACTGCTTTGGCATTTAAAAATGATTCACTACCAAATTTTAGCAGCTCAAAACAACACTGCCAGTTCAGTACAAGAAAAATTCTAGCACGTCATTTATATCACACCGAGCTTCCTAAATATACAAAGGTTATTTATTGTTTTCTTGATAACCTAGATTAAAATTACAGCTTTAGACCCGAGATATATTTCAATTCATAGAAATAAAGTACATGATCAGGAAATGATCCCTCCCACCCTAAAACTTTTTCATACTAGAGAAAATGCATGCACCAAAAAATTAAAAAGGCAACGATTTGGTATTTTAACATTTGTTACCAACTTTTTGTTGTAACCCACCCGTGTTCACACTTCCTCTAAACTTATGCATGACGTCAAACTTTAAAGTGCAAACTATTTACAGGTTACCTGGTCTTGATAAATGCATACCCATGACCCAATAACAGTGGTTATACAATAACCGAACTATTAGTGGTTGAGCTTTTGCTGTTAATTGAGAGAGCAGAGTGCTCAATTGCACATCAAGTGTTTTTACGCAACTGGAAGTCTTCAAGAAAATCTGCACTCTTCAAGCTCCTCAACAGGAACACTACCAACCAAACATGTATTCCATGGCTTTGGAAACAAGACTCTCATCTTTCCTAGGAGTCTGCCTGTCTGAAACCACCTAAAACAAAGAAAAAGGGAGTATTATTACATTTAGCTCAAAGAGCAGATTAGATTGAGCAGCAGCACCAGCTTCCCATTTTGCCACATGTACCTGATAATCACTGCTACAAGCTTTATATGCTGCAGCCAGAGGCCTCATTGTAGTTGTTCTTGGTGTGCTAGGCGACTGAACAGTTGTACCCGGAGTACTGACAGTTGGACTGAAGACTGAGAACAATGTTCCATTAGATCTATCTGCTGTTTCCATAACACTCTGCGTAACGAAAGAAAATTATTTCTATTGACGTTTCAGACTGCAGTATTTTCATAATTCCATTAAACTTTAAATAAATTAGATGCGAGACTTTTTTCTGCACAGTCCTACTATAAGGATACCTCAAGATAGTAATGAAATTTGCCTACAGGGTTTGGGAATAGGTACATTAGATATTTTTCTGTCTAAGCATTCAGGAATGTCGAGGTGGTTCTTGATTTTCCCTTTCTTCCCTGAACTTAAATGGTGTACAAGGGTGCCATAACATAAGGAAATGCAGTTCTCAAATCCAAAAAAGTTGATATGGAGCACTCAGAACTACCACCACCTGTTACTACAGCTCATTTACAAGACAATTGTTCAAAGTAATCAGAAAACTATTACAACTGCTTCACTTAGTTGTTTCATTCAAATATCAATAAAATAAAGACAACAAACTGAAATTCTCAATATTAAATATAAATGTTGTTTCTAATCGTGGTCCTGTAGTGTCTGCCTACTCAAAAATTTCCCAATACTTCCATTCCCACACTTAGCTCCCATGTTCATACTCCCAGTCCCTCAACACACACCAAACCCCCCAGCTCCCATCCTTTGAAGAATTAAACTTTAAAGTTTATACCCATAAACCTCCAGCATCAGCTTTCTCTGCAACCTGCTGTTCTGAATTTGGACATGTTGGTTAGTGCAAGTAAGTCTGCCTGCACTGACCAGCTTCTGCCACGAGATGGAGCCTGTTTTAAATTGACAAATCAAATTCAGCTGTACCTGCTGACACCAAGAAACATGTGCAGTAGCAGCAAAATTCTTCAAATAAAGGATTATAAAAACCTAACAACACCCAAAAATGAAAAATTAGAGAAAACCAGTTAAGAGAAAGTAGCTAAACAAGTAGGGCTTCTTCCAAACTTCTTTAAAAAAACTACATTATAGTGCACATGGAGTTTAAAAAAACATTGAAGGCGAGCATGTACAGTCTTCATTCATTACACGATTGCTGGTATCAGTGGACATTATCTTGCTTTTTAATATTTATATGTAATATTTTCAATTATACTGCTTCTTTAAAAATTGATTTTGTTTCAGGTTATATTCTTTATGAAGTGTAGGAATGTAGGTCATTTCAACTTATAAAGTTTTAATGTGTTTTCTGCTGAGAAATTGTAGTGTTTTTATATATTTAGTCACATTTTATTTTGCAAGTTATTTCAGCTTGGAATACTCAGGGCTGCATGTGCACTGTATAGTATTTCGATCTTCACATATTCTGCTCTGTTAAAAAAATGTCTGCAAGAACATATCTCTTGTTTTAATATTAACAAATTCACTTAAAGTTGCTTTACTTAAAGTCTCAATTTTCAGGAACACAGCCAGAACGTCCCATATAGAAAATGCACAGTGAAAATAACTAAATTAAGTACTTTTAATTGGAACAAGGGCATATCATTATCCACGCTCTGAATAGAACTAATGCATTTATATGGCCTGTAACAATGTAAATCTTCCTAAGACATGTCACAATGGAGCTGTCAGATAAAATTAAACATATTAGAGGCAGATGACCAAAACATGAATTCAAACGTACATTCATTATACTGGCAATGTTTTGCCCAAAGTTTCTTCGCCTTGGGCTTCATAACAAAGTTTCTGAAAGCAGTTTTATGGCAGCTTCATATCATCAGGACTTCAAATTTTATCAACCCACCTTATCAATGCATGGCTTCACTCCAACCATGATAGCTTCTCCAAAAATCTTTCCATCTTTACTTAAGGCTTTCCTGGCCTGCAGTTTAGATTGATACTGAATATGCATCCAGTTTCCATTGTTTGACATCTGTGTAATATGCCGTCAACACAAAACACAAAAGAGATTTAGGTAAAACATTAATTTAAAATTAGAAGATAGCTGTAAAAAGGTATTTTCTCATAGCTTAACTGCAGATTACATTAGACATTAAAAGTCTCATACACAAATCAGCAGCATACTGAAAGTGAAAAAGGTTTGTTTACAAACTGTGCTAAAGTAGGGATATTGGGCATGATTTTGTCTACTCTGAATTCAGGAACATAAATGCTGAGATTATTCTGTTTCTTTTCTTTTATGAACTCAAAACTGTAATCTTTAATTTCTCAATAACGCTAATTGTTCAGCTGAAAAGCTGCAGTTGCTTGGGAATTTTTTTTGATGGGGCGGACCTCAGGTAGAACAGAAATAATCACGCAGGTCTGTACAGTGCACCTTGGGTCATGAAACTAATCAGCTCATAACTAGTTAACGAAATTGACTAGGTGTAAAAGATTTGGTTGAATGCTTTAAATTTGGAAGAAATGGAAGACAATAAGAAAAAGAGAGGGTGGGAAGCACTTTGTGATGATGTGTGAAAGATGACTAAACAGCAGTGTAGAGAAAGCATGAATGGTTTGTTTTTAGCAACCATCTACAAAAATACACCATTCTGACAGGCTCAAATAATTATAAAAAAAGGTTTTCCCCACAAGTATAGAACCTAAAGTTGCTAGACAACAGAAAATACCTCTGGAAATCATACATGAATATCCATTGTCTTACATAACTAATTCCAAATGCTTGCAATAATTATACATTTTTAGCGTCATTAATTGAAAGAATCAGCATTTCTGTACAATGAAACAGGTTCAGCTGTTAGTTAAGAATTCACAAATTTCTTTTTGCTGACACCAGCAGCTCTGGTCTCAGCAGCACTATTATGTTGTCAGAAAAAAAAGGGAAGACATTGTTTGCCAATGTGGGGCACTGTGCACACATTCAGCTTTCACAGCAAAGCTCTTTAACGTGACTGTGGAAAATGCACAAACATTTGCTGAATTTTTCAATTATTGAAATGCCAATAGCTTCAGCCTGGTCATGCGAATTAAAACAGTGTAGCAGTCCATTGTAATTAAGCTCACAATGTTCAGTTCATTGAATAAGGGCACCAATTTATTAACAAATCGAAAAGGAATGTTTTCTATATACTATTCCAGTTTCTAAGTAGAAGTTCTCAATAGTGCCAAAAATAAGCATCCATTCTTTGAGTTATCAATTATTCCATACTTTAAATTACTAACTTGCTCAAAGAGCTAAAGAACATTTCATTAACCAGAAAGTTACTAGAAATTAAATTGAGTGATAAGGCACAAAAATAACAAAGTTTATGCATTATGTACAATAGCCTTGTATTTACACCAATTTAAATCTGGACTGAAATCATCCAACCCAGTTTTTAAAAGATACTTAAACAAGTTGAGGGTAAATGGAGTTTCCACAATTTTTAACATAGGTTTACAAAACATCTTGCTGGAAGTGGGTTACCCACGCTTGCATCCCCCCAGACTGGCAAAAGAACCCCACTCCTAATCAAATTCACAAGTATCACAAATCTCCACTAACTGCATCCATTCATGAAAGTTCTTAAAATTAAGCTTGCTTTTTGAGTCAGAGAAACCAGTACATAATGCTGTAATAGATTTTGAATAGTCAATTAACTGGAAACAAAAAAAAAAAAAACAAAAATAGAACTTGCTGGAAAAGTTCAGCAGGTCTGGCAGCATCTGTGAATGAAGAATCAGAGTTAATGTTTCGGGTCCAGTGACCCGTTCTGAGGGTTAACTCTGATTCTTCCTTCACAGATGCTGCCAGACCTAATAAGCTTGTCCAGCAAGTTCTGTTTTTGTTCCTGATTTACAGCATCTGCAGTTCTTTCGGTTTTTAACTGAAAAAACAACAAACCTGGTCAGGTCAAGGATTCCGAAACTGCAGGTCTTGTCCTATCTGGAGTCACAAGCTGCCTTCCCTACCCCCAAACAGCAACGGTGACTCTTGGTTTGGACCTGTTGGATCAATGGCCTCTCACCCAAAAAAGTAAGCACATGGTGGACAGTGCACCCCAAATGTTCAAAAGTTGCAAAAAAAAAAAAAAACATCGTTCTGTGGGACCAGAAGGTTTACTCATTTACATGATGCCATTAGATGCTCTGAAGTGCAACTCAGTCACTGTCAGAGCATAGGATAAACTGGAAGTTTGGGGCACATGAGCAGGAAATGGGAATGGCAGTTTCAATCTTTGCTGTATTTCTGCTCCTGTCTGTTGTATAGACTCCCTGCGCCAAGTTAAGGACTCTGCATCACTGGTACCAACAACCAGACTAAAAGTGGCAGAGAGATAAGGGGAGAGGAGCAACTGAGTGATTCAGAGAGCGCAGAGGGAATCTAGGAAAAAGAGGTTGCAGAATTTGGGGTGGTAGTGAGTACAGAAAGGGATTTAGGAAGGGGCACTGCTGAGTGATTATGTATGCTTGAAAAGAGGGGCTGCTCAGTCAGCAGGTTGGGCGACGGATACAAGAGAGAGACTGCTGAGAATGGAGGGGATGCATGTTGAGAAGAGGTGTGTGCACCTAGTTGGGTCAGGAATGCATGGTGGGTAAGATGGGCTGATCGCAATGGGTCTGCAGGGGTTGGGAGTAACAGACTTTACAGAGGTCTTCTGTTACTAGAGAATATGGAGAGCTCACTGAAATGTACACCAATTCATAAAATAGTTTTACAACATACACAGAGTCACATAAGTCATAGAATCCCTACAGCATGGAAGCAGGCAATTCGGCCCAGAATCCACACCAACTCTCCAGAAAGGATCCCACCCAGAACAGCATGCCGTGCCACCACCCTATAACCCTGATTTTTCCCATGGCTGACCCACCCCTAGCCTGCACATCCCCAGACACAGTGGGCAATTTAGCATGGCCAATCCACTTAACCTGCACATCTTTGGACTGTAGGAGGAAAGAGCACATAGATGGAACCCCATGCAGACACTGGGGAAAACATGCAAACTCCACACTGACAGACCATCGCCTTTAGTATCTTATATACCTCAATTAGATCCCTCCTTATTCTTCTAAGCTCCAAAGTACAGGCCTAAACTGCTAAAATGCTCTTTGTATGGTAAACTCCTCATCTTTGGAGTCAATCTAGTGACCTTCCTCTGAACTGCCTCCAGAAAAGTTTATTCATTGTACACTAAACAAAAACCTGCACTACTTCCAGCAATGTATAGGAAAAATACTCCATTCCAAATAGCAATTCACTTAAAGCTATTAGAAAAGCTTAAATCAACTTAAAAACCTACCACATGCTTTAAGATGTTTCCATATTGTGCAAACTGTAGGAGGATGTATGAAGCAGATGCTGGTGGAAACCTGCAATAGAATTTTCTTCAGTATAAGTAATTTCATTCCCAATGTTGAGAATAACAGATTAGATTGCAAGTTAAACATACAAGTTCAAGCACCAAAGATTGATTTTTTTGTTAGGAAGAAACAGCTTCTATCCACTAGAATGTTTTTGTACACATACAAGCACACTGTACCCAGGCAGATACATGATCTGTTTTCAAGTTTATCCCAATACCACACTAAGTGAACAGCTAAGTCCCCACCTGAAACCTCTAAATAGCAACACAGCAGAGATCATAAGCTATTTAGTGAAAAACAACGTAGACTACTACATTAACCCACCATTAATGTTATACCAACCTTTAAATGGTTTCTAGTTAGCACATTATGAAATATCTGAAAGTACCAGATATTTCTCAATTACCAACCTGCTATTTAAAGACCTGATCATTCATTGCTAAGAATTTCCACCAGCCCAAAATACTGAATTTTCTAATTCAACATATCGAAGTTGCTTAAATGACTTGTCAAATTTAAAAGTATAAATCCTTGAAGTTGGGGTGAGAATGGTCTTAACATAAAATAATTAGGATACAGAGTAACAATTCACAGAAATCTTCACCAAAAACGTAGTCAATAAGCAGCAACTTAAGGTACAGTTATGGATGCAACTTGTTTCAGTAACTTAGAGAAGGACTACCAAAAAAAATCTTACATTTCTTCCACTCATCCTCCAAAGTTCTCTTCAGCCAAGATGGTAAGGTTAGTACATGATTTGAAATTGTTATTTAATCATGTCATCCGTTCTCATGTGTAGAAAGAAAGGCTAGTTCATTTCTAGTAATCCAGCGGTAAATCAGATGAGTAAAAATGCCTAATGGAATCAAGGCAAACGGGACTGATCAGTAGCCATGGGATTCTACCTTAATCTCCTAGTTTGAAATATTCCTACCATCAAAACCAGGAGAGTATTTGTTGAAGTTAGTGTAACCCAACATATTCTAGCTGACAAATAAAACCATGCTACTACAAACAGCTTATCAGAAAAACTGAAACCCATTTGATAAATGGGCAATAAGACGGATACAAAAATGAGTTGAAGGATAGTTACGATGAATGTTTATTTTTAAAGATGGAAGGTGGTGTACAGTATGTTCTCCAACAATTGATACTTGGATTACTGCTGTTAATAATGTACATTAATGAAATGTAGATACATAGCACAATTTTAAAAGTTGCAACGACACGATACTTGGAAGAATGAAACTTCAAGAGACCACTGATGGGTCGAAGGAATGAGCAAACATGCATATTAAATTCAAAGCAGAAAATGTGAAGTGATACACTGGTGGGAGAATAAGGAAAGACAATACAAATTAAATAATAAAAAGTTTAAGTATGCAGGAGGTGATAGAGTGTTGTTTATGTACAAACATTTGAAGGGAATAGGACAGGTTAACAAAGCAGTTAATAAAGCATTTATCATCCCTACATACAATCATGGAGTACAAAACTCAGGAATATTATTTTAAAACCTGCATAAGACACTTTTTCAACCCTAGTACCCAATATTGAACACCAAACTTTAGGAAGAACACGAAACCAAGGAGAGGGTACACAAGAGATTTACTGAAATAATTGAAGTGATAAAAGATTCCAGTTACATGGATTTACTAGCCAAACTGGGTTTCTCTCGTTAGAGCACAGAAGGACATAAGTGTTTAAAATGAGGAAAGGCTCAGCCAAAGTAAATAGAGAAACTGTTACCAGTGACCTATGGATCAATAGACAGACGACAGGAAGACATGCTTTGTTCTTTTGAAAAAGATGACTCATCAGGGATTTAACATACAGGTAGTTCTGCTATAACATGTGTTTCATTAAAATGAACTGGCTGTAATGGAACTGATAAATAGTGGACGTTGTTTGGATAACGTGAACTTTCTGCTGTAGAGAAATAGCGATTTTCTATAGCGCGAGGTCACGCAAGAATGCAACTATCATTGTTAAGGAGAACAACCAACACAATGCCAGATAAGGGAAATGGAAATTGATTCAATATTAGCACAATGAAAGTGAATAAATACTTGAAAGAAAAATATTACAGGGATATGGAGAAGACTGGTGGAATGAGACCAAAGTCAGTGCATTTTTAAAAGTAACTATATGTTCCAAGGTAATTCACAGGAGGATTACGAAATACAGTGCAGAATTTGCCCCAAAATACAGCCAGACAAGTTTTAAATTACCATAAATTTCTAGACACGGGAATGTGGGAGACAAGCCAATAGTCCACAAAGCACCTTTTAAAAGCGGCTAAAAAGAATTTTGAAAGGAAACTTACAAAGAACGTACAAGGCAATAAAAAGAGATGTTATAGTTACAGAAAGGGAAAGTGGCTGTTAAGAGTACAGCCGGCCAACTAAAGGCTGAGTGGTACGGTCAATGAACACTGGAAATGGCACATATACTGAACGATTGCTTGTTTCAATATTCACAGCAGAAGGGGAGAATAGCTTGCAGGAATTTTCAAAGAAATTAACAGAGGGATAGGATCTAAACAAAAATTAGCTCAAGTAATTCATCGATAATAGGTAAATTAATGGAACCTAAGTGTCAAATCTTCGGGATCTGATGGTTCCGATCAACGGGTGTTAAAGGAGGTAGGAGAGCACAATGCAGATGCCATAACCATAATCTTTCAGAGTTTCGTGGATTGAGGAATTGTACTCATGGCACTCTGCTCTTTAAGAAGGATGACAGAGGGAAACCAGGGAATTACAGACCAGTTAGACTAACGTGTGTGTGGTTGGAGCCTATAAAATCAAGGATAAGGGTGACTGATCACTTTGAAAAATTTTAGTTGATCAGGGAGACTCAGCATTGATTCATGTCGGATAGGTCATGTCTGACCAAATTCAGTTTTTTGAAGAGGTGACAAAAGGTGTTAGACAAAGGTAGGTCAATAGATTGCTTATATGGACTTCCAGAAGTCTTCAGCTTTTGCTGAAGTCCCACATAAGAGACTGTTAGCTAAGGTTGAAGCCCACCGAATTATGGGCAAATTACTGAAATGGATAGAAAACTGGTTGAATAGCAGGAAACAGATTTGGACCAATGGGTAAGCACTCAAGTTAGCAGGGGATCACTAGTGGTGTCCTGCAGGGATCAGTGTTGGGAGCTCAGTTATTCACAATATTCATTAATGACTTGGATAAATGGCATAAAATGTCAAATATTCAAGTGTGCTGACAACAAAACTGGGCAGCGTTGTAGACAATGTTGATGGGAACATAAAATTACAACAGGATATTGATAAATTAGCTGAATGGGCAAAGCTATACAAAGTGACCTTTTTTTATATAAGCAGATGTGAGGCTACCCATTTTATACCGAAAAAGGATAGATTTGGGTTTTATTTTTCCAAAGAAGGCACAAAGTTAAATACAGTGGATTTCCAACAAGATTTGGGGAGGGAGGGAATGGGAGTGAGAGTGAGAAGAATTTCAACTTAATTCTCTTCATCAAAATTGTTCTGAAATGTTAATGCTGCTTCCTTCATACAGGTGCAGCTAGAGCTGCTAAGTTTCATCAGCAATTTGTTTTTGTTTTAGATCTCCAGCACCTACAGTTATTTTGTTTTATCTATCAACTTAATTCTCATCTACCTCGAAAAGTAGAGTTTCTACAATTCCAGAAGAATGTACAAATCATACAAACCCAAAAACTGTGATCCACGTATCATCTAAATGATCATCTGAAGTGAGAGATTCTCCTTGTGTGTAGAAAGGATCTGCCTGTGCAGGAGAAAGAGTCACCTTTCTGTGTTGGCCAATAGTGGCTGGACTAAATATACCAGTAGTACCTAAGAAAGAGAGGTAGTTTTTTTTATTTCAAGTGCACAGTCATCACTTCATTGTACTCCTTTTTGTGATTATGAATTACTCAAAAATATAAAAAGTAAATGTATTCTATATTCAGCAGTAAACGAAATTGAGCTTTAAAGAACCAGCCAACAGATTTGTCACCTGCAAACAGAAGGACCACACAATCTTGAAAAAGATCTTAGGGCTTCAAATGAAGGCAGGAAAACCCCACCAATAAAGAAATGGTTTTAAGATATTTTGCTTATAGACATGATGGGAGATGTTGCAAACTAATAACAGGCTCAAAAGGAGTGTACCTTTGTAAACTTAATCGTTAGATTTATCACTTTACAATCTGCAATCAGGAATATAATGCAGGATCTAGGGAACAATTTTTTGAGCAAGAGATATCATGTCACTAGTACTAATGATTAGAAATATTAAGCATAAGTCAGCTAGGGGACTTACAACCTCAAACATCTTATGACTGTAATGACATTCACCATCGGATTGTTCAACATATCCCATTCACAGAACAACTTTTTAAAAGGAGTCTCCTGCCCCACAGTGTAGCCCTCATCCAAGGCAGTAACTTGGATTAACTGCTCCTAAAGAAAGGGAGAGGCCTGTAATTTCATAAATGCAATCCAACTAACAACTCTGTGGGAAAATAAGTCATCACAGATTTAAGGAGTCAATTGGCAGAGAAGTAGTCACAGACACCCAAAAAGTAAGACTATCTATCCATTAAGGAATGAGCCAGAGCTTTGAAAGATTAAATGATTGTAAGGGTCTTATGCCTTAGGATACAAAAGGTAGAAACAGGCAAAGTTATATCTTTATCATGAATATATTGAGAATGACGAATTCTACCTGTTTTCACTGTAAACAGTTATATAGTATATCTATAATCTCTTTACTATTAATGTGATGAAGACTGTAAACCAGTAAGTTATGTTCTTCACTGCAAATACTTCAATGAAAGCTAAGCAGAATAGACATACCTGATCCAGGAGTTACATTATTTCCAGAAAGAGGAGTTTGAACTTTTGAAACATTAGCCTGCAATTTGAAAAAAAATCCGATGAAAAATCTTTAAGTAACATTAAATTTGAGTCACAAGAAATGATGACTTAAATTTCTGGCAATTTCTTATGTAGAAACACAGTGTAGTGGGAAAAAAACAATTCAAGAAAGAAAGCGGAGCAATTCCTTGCAACACCTCGACACCTCAAAGCATAGGAAAACAGCAATGCCAGAGATTTGGAGGTAGAATATACATCCATCCAACCACATTCAGCATTTAGCTGAGACAGTTCTGCAAAATAAGGAAGAAACTACTTTCCTTAAAGTAAAGACTCGTGGCCTTAACATTCATTCCAGGAGGTGCAGCAGAAAGCTTTCAAAGTTAATATATGATAGAATGCTAAATGGAAAGTACACACCTTTCAGACCTTACCATATCTGACAACTTTCATATAATCTACTACAAACTGGTGGTGTCGCACGTTTACCCATCTAATCACAGAGAATTACCTGTAATAGCTTTCATTCCCAGCCTCTTGCCTTTATCTGACCAACATCACTCCCTGATCGTTGTATCTATCTTCCTCCCAGCTGTCTCAGAATTAAACTACATGCTGTATGTATTGATTGACCCAGGATGAGCTCCTGCCCATGACAACAGGATCACTCATTTTAAATTCCTTGCCATCACTTGACTTTGCCCATTTGTTTACCTACTGTTCAAACCCTCATCCATGCATTTGATACCTCAAACTTGCTTACTTTAATTCACTCAGATTCACTACCCTAAGTAAATCTGAGGTCATCAAAAACTCTGATATCTTAACTTGCAGCAAATCTCATTCATCTACCATCACTATGCTCATTGAACTACACTGGTTCACAATTAAGCAACATCTTGATTTTAAAATTTCCATCCTTGTTTTCAAATCTCCATGTACATCTTGAATCTCCTCAGCCCTGAGCCAGCCACTCATCTAATTCTGGTTTCTTGCACATCACCAGTCGAAGAGTTAAAATTGGAGACCACATTTTCAATTGTTTGGGCCCCAAACCTCTCCATCCCATACCTTGCTCAAAGGGGCATTTTTTAAGCAATGCTTTTCTGTAATAATGCCTGTACAAATAAAACTGTACCATGCGATATCAGCAATGCCACACACACACAATGTGCAGTCCCTTTCAATTTGTCGTCTCTTCCAGCCTGATAGACAGCCTCACTTGCTCGGTTTCATGGGGGCATTAGTCACCTGACCTTGTGTTTGGCTGTTAAAATTTGTTTTACAAAGTTTCTGAGAAGCATCCTGCTCCAAAATTTCCAGGAAAATATGGTCACATTCAATACAGCTGAGGTACAGAAATATATTGCCTATTAAAATAATCCTTACGATGTATCTAGTTTCTTACCAGTTGTCGTGAACTTATGGGTGAAAGTCCAGTTCTTGTGCTTCCCAAATCATCATATAAACTACGAACTGGTGGTGCGCCACACTTGTCTTTTGGAGTGGGTACAACTGGTTGAGGTGGAGTGCCTCCTGTATTTAACAGGAAACAAACGAAAGATGGTATTTCGTCATTCAAGGCACCTTTACTGCTGTAGCTTTACAAATTTAACACTTAACAATATAAAAGCTAAGCAACGTATAGATTTGATTCATAGTTATGGATCAAGAACAAATGAAACTGTAAAGTAAAACCCAACAGATTAGACTTAAAATCATAGCAACATATACAATGATTTCTCCAAAATATGGAGGCTTCATCAGGTGTAAGATTCAGACTAAATCAAAACCCTAAAGTTTTAATGGAATATCTATATTATTTCAAAACCTAGATTCAGCCATTACTACTTAGCCATTCTCTATTAAAGGACAGCGTGAAAAGTTTGCAAATCACAGCTTATTACCAAAGCAGCATAGTATGCGATTAGGATTACTGATTTTGTTTAGCAGAATAAGTTGTTTCATTTAAGCATTTACTAAGAATCTGATAAATATCCAAACATCCCATCCTTCACTTAGTATATATTAAAACTAAAAATTGACCTTTCCAAATACAGCTAAACATCAACTCAAATGTCATTATTTCCCAAAAATGTTGCTTCACCCCACTTGCCTCCAAAAGGCGATCGTATGTCCGTTATTCCTGCCAAAGTGCCACAAAGATTCCGTGGCTGAGGAGTTACTGGGGCTGGTAAATCTCCCATTAAGAAACCAGGCAAAAACTGAGCACCTGCACCTGGCTTAGGAGATGTTGGTGATCCCAATGCCATTGGTTCAGATCCTATAAATAGACAGAAAGAGACCCATCTAAGAATACAAAGTAATGCAGCATATGCAATACACACATATATATATTACAATAGTGACATTACAATAGTGATTTATTTTGAACATTAAGTGAAGGACACTCATTTTTCTAGTAATGATTAAAATAATGAAAAGATTTGATAGAATACACTTGATGAGATGGAGGTGGTCAAAACCAATGGACATAATGTGAAGGTGCTGGTGTGGACAAATGCTGAAGTCACACGACACCAAGTTTATTGGCATCACATGCTTTCAGAGCACAGCCCCTTCGTCAGGTGCAGTGAGAGAGCAGAGAACAGACCCAGGAGTTTATAGACAGAGATCAAAAGATTTTACAACTGGTGTGAGTAGAGTGTCAGATGATAAGTCTCTGCAGGTGACCAAGAGTGTCAGACAGTGAGTAAAGTGTCAACAGCTAAATAACCAACGAAGGAATGACCCACAATCTGATTAAGTGAGGCAGCAGGATAATTAGAAAAAAATAATTTAAAATAAAGGTGGTGTTGGAGACAAACTAAATGACTGGAACCGCATGCTGAATTCAAAAACTGTACAAACTAATTAAGGTAGAGAGACCATAACAATTTATCAAGGTGATGCCGATTTTACAGATACAGACAGTATGATGGGATTACCTGTAACGCGACATAAACCCAAGATCACGGTTAAGGCCGTCTTCACAGGTACAGAACTCTACCTTAATTAGTCTGTACAGTTTTGAATTTGTCATGCGATTCCAGACATTTAGTTTGTCTCCAGCTCTTCCTTTATTTTTAACTTTTTTTCTAATTATCTCTCTGCCTCACTTAAGCGGATTATAGGTCATTCCTTCACTGGTTATTTAGCTGTGACACTTTACTCACTGATTGACACTCTTGCTCACCTGTAGAGACTTATCTGACACTCTACTCACACCAGTTGTATAATCTTTTGACCTCTCTGCCCCTGATCTCTTTGTCTAGAAATTTTGGGTCTGTGTTCTCTGCTCTCTCAGTGCACCTGACCAAGTAGCAAAACAGCTGGCATAAAAGGCTGCAAAATGCATGAGCACAAAAAGGAATCCAACATAATTTAGAAGGGACAGAATGCTTTTACACATTGTATTTGTGCTTTTCTGATTGGAAATTTAACAGACCAATCAGATTTACAAGTTACCATAACGAAGAAGCTGCAGCCAAGGAGACCTACTCTGCCAGTACTGCCAAGGAGGGCAAACTTTGCTTCATCAGCCCCAGCCCCCAAACTCCTAAATCCCACTCCCCACTGCCTACTGACATCAGCAGCACATCTGCATACAGACAATTGCTGTGGGCCGTCATAGCCAATTACCATCACAGGCCTCTTCTGATCATGCCCAGAGGGTTATTTTGCTGTCATGGATGATCCCTCTGAACGTAAAAAGTGTAAATACGACTGAGTTATCTGAACACAGCTTCCGTAACAGACCCTTGAAGCTATTTAATGCGGACATGCCTCTAGCCAGGGAATTGATTTAGGATTTCTTTTATTCTGTTTCCACTGGCAAAGTTAGCCTCATTGTTAACCAACTATGAAGCTCAAATTTATACTACTACTTATGCAAAAAAAATGCTCGAGTACTTCTCAGTTTCACTTCTGAGCAATTTTAGTTTTAATCTGCTAGATATGCTATTGACAAACAAATTCCCACATTTCCAGATTATTGCAAGATAAATACCAATTCACAAGTCATGTCAGTCACAACCGACTTGGAAAAGTTTACTGCCTTTGTTTAAAGTTACAAGGAACAGCAACTTGGTTGCTCACACCAGAAGAAATTCTACTTACAAGGAAAATTGCACTTGCTTATTTTGAGGTAACCCAAATGAAATTGGAGAGATTTAATAATTTGATCCTAGAAGTTATCCATTATGATAGTGTTCAACTACCAAAGAACAGAACAAAATGAGGCAGTTAATAATTTGACAATAAAGATATACCATATTCATCATAGAAAACAAGTGCTCACAAAGAAGTTCTGTTCAGTTTGCTCCGATCAACATTTTTCACCGTCAGAATTTACCATTTACAGCCACAGAAGTTATAAACTTGAAAACAAGAACGTTTGATATAAAAACAGAAACAACTGGATAACTCAGGTCTGGTAGCATCTGTAAACAGAAAGCAGAGTTAATATTTTGGGTCCAATGACCCTGCTTCAGAAAACCAAAGAACTGCAGACGCTGTAAATCAGGAACAAAAGCAGAAGTTGCTTTTTCATTTTCTGAAGGGTCCCGACCCAAAACATCAGCTTTCCTGCTCGGCCTGCTGTGCTCCTCCAGCTTCACACTGTGTCATACTGGTAAACCGCTTATGCAGCATCTCCAAAATTCTCCGCCACTTCCGCACGTATCAGCCCATTAACCTCCGGATTCAACGCATCATTCTCTGCCACTTCTGCCACCTGCAATCTGACCCCACTACGAAGGATATATTTCCCTCCCACCCTTATCTGCCTTCCGGAGGGACCGCTCTCTTCGCGACTCCCTCGTCCGCACCACACTCCCCACTCGCCCTGCCACCATTGGCACCTTTCCCTGCAACTGCAGGAGGTGCTACACCAGCCCCTGCCGCTACACCTCCACCCTCACCCTCCATCCCAGACCCCAAAAAAAACCTTCCACATTAAACAGATGTTCACCTACACATCCGCTAATGTGGTCTATTGTATCCGCGGTCCCCAGTGTGGCCTCCTCTACTTCGGGGAGACCAAGCAGAGACTTGGAGACACTTTGTGGAGCACCTACGCTTGGTTCATGACAAACAACACCTCCCAATCGCGAACCACTTCAACTTCCACTCCCTGGACAGCATGTCCATCCTGGGCCTACTCCAGTGTCACAATGATGCCACCCAGAAACTGGAGGAACAGCACCCATATTCCACCTTGGAAGCCTACAATCCGATGGTCTCAACGTGGACTTTACTAGCTTCAAAATCTCCCCACCCCCGAACTCATCCCAAGACCAGCACCCCTTCTCATCCCCACTTCCTTGACATGTCCATCTTCTCTCTCACCTCTCCGCTCCACTATCCACCTGCTATCATCGCCCCCCCCGCTATTTATTTCAGAGACCCCTTCCCCTCCCCCATTTCTGTAGAAGGAGCCTCGACCCGAAACGTCAGCTTTCCTGCTCCTCTGATGCTACCTGGCCTGCTCTGTTCATCCAGATCTACACCTTGTTATCTCAGACTGCAGCATCAGCAGTTCTTACTATCTCTGGGAGTAGCATTGGATCCTAGTGTTTATTGCAATTTACAGAAGACAATGTATCACAGAATGATTTAAACTGTTCCATGCACATCAAACAACTGGCCTTGTAGATTAATATCTCAATACAACTTCAAATCCTACCAAAGTGAAATCTGTATCTTCAATTACATTTTATTCACATAACTATTTCTCACCACCTCTACACTCCTCATGCATACCCCACACTAGATTAGTGTTGAGAGCCTGAAAACATTAACGATTTGATTCAAATGACCTAAACTAATTAAACGTAAAGCCACAATGCAGAGATCTAGGCCCTAATTCCATCTGTCTGCTTTCTAAACCACAATAGTTCACCGTAAGGAGCTGAACAGGAAGTGTGTCGATCCAGAAATAAGAAGTGCTTCCTTTTACTGGCTATGACCTTAAAAAAAAGATGATTATTACTTAAAAGGTCAAAGGCAACACCTGATTTCCCTGACCTTGCTACTTCAAATTAATTATCTTTATTTTAAATTCTTTACGTTGAACATAAGGGCGTTGGTTGGCCATCCGTGGCTGACTATTTAGCATTCTCTTGTAGCCCATGTGGCTGGGCTTTGCCCATAAGAACCACTCTCTTAAAAACTGAATATTTTATTGTATAGTCGCCTATTGCAACATTGCAGCGGAAAGGTCATTAAGTGGTTACCGCCTTAAATAATCTTAAAAAATTGCAGCCTCCAGATAGTCACAATTTACAAAGCGTTAAATAAGCCTGGCTCAACGTTGATTCTGCGCAAATTAAACCTTCCGAAAAGGAAACGGCACTGGGTCGATTCAGTGCTGCAATTCCACCCGTAAAAGATTAGAGTTAACTAGGCCCCAACTGTGTAAGTTACGATCCTCATACTACATGTAATGCACAAAACTCCACGTATGCGACCCATAAACAAACGAAGTTACCAAATATTAATCTGTGTACTTCACCTACCTAACATGTCCGGATGACAAAAGGTTGAATGAAACAGTTAAATAGCAGGGGGAAGCGGTTGGAACATTTTCCCCACGTCCACGTGCGAGTGGCACCACTTCACTTCTTTCGCCTGATGAGCTCCTATTTCGGTGCCAGATTCGGATCCACACCGACTCTCTCTCACCTCACCTCCTTCCTTCCTTCCTTCCTTTCTTTCTCCCTAACCCCAACAGCATGCCACATTCACACAGTGTGTCCTCTCCCATCTCCCACCAACCGTCCCCTGCGCCCAGCTCGCGCTCCCGGATTCCCCTCGCTCAGGGGGCTCGCGCTCAGCCGTTGAAACCGATTCTTACCTTGGAACTCCATGGCGGCGGCGGCTGCTGCTTCCAGAGTGTGGGCGACACATAGACCTAAATTCCAGCAGCTCCTTCTTCACCCGCTACCGCTGCCTCCTCCTCCAGTAAGTTTCTTCTTCACCGCCCCCCCGCCGCCTCCTCCTCCTCTTCTTCCTCTAGTACTGCACCGACTCGATCCACTTTCAAAAATGGCGGAAAATCTCCCAACCTTAAGAGCGGAGCTGCACGATGGGAAGAGCGTCACTCACTTTAGTCAGCTCTGCACCTTGTTGTCTCGGATTCTCCAGCATCTGCAGTTCCTACTATCTCTGACTCACTTTAGTCGATTGTGTTCTTCCCAAGGGCTGAGCGTGGAAAGTCCTGCAGCCTCAGTGTAGGTGCCACGCTTCTCTAATCAATATGTGACTGGATGGAAGTCGACCATTCTGCTACTCCAATGATTGAGAAGGCACCCAAACAGCAATCAGTGTTGTGAGAGCAAATAATGTAGAGAGAAGTGCATTTATCTTCATACTGTCAATAAGAACGTTTAGAGGAAGAGTTTCCAGAACAGTGCCGGCTCTGTCCTAGTTCCACGTGTGGATATCAGCAGGGATCACAGATCTCAGATAATATTCATCATCCTGAGAGGGCTTAATCGTGATTTTACACCTCCCACACGCTCCCCCAAGTCTTTTGTTCAATTCCTTTACGTCATTATAATTTAAACATTAACATTTTTCCTAATGCTATAAACAAACCATAAGAAATAAGAACAAGAGTAGGCCGTTCGGCCCCTTCAACCTGCTTAGCCATTCAATAGGATGATGGCTAATGCTACACTCCTCATGTCCATTTTCCTGTGCTTTCCCACGAGCCAATGATTCCCCTACTGAACAATAATCCATCTATCTCAGCCTTAAATAAGCAAAAGCATAAATTACTGGAGAAACAGTTAACATTTTCAGATCGGTTCTGAAGAAGGGTCACTGGACTGGAAACTTTATTTTTCCACAGATGCTGCTACAGCTGTTGAGCTTCTCCAGCAATTTCCGTTTTTGTTTGTTAGGAGCGACCTCATTATCTATAGCAACTGATATGTGTGCCCAAAAAGTCCATGGACTGGCCCAACAGAGACACTCACCTTTTCTAGCCATTGTCCTTCCTTGTTCCCTAAGGTGTAGTTCAGTTCTTTATCCATGGTAGTTCATATGAGACAGAGTGCAGGAGATGCAGATGCATTTCCCAAAGCAGTTGTTGAAGTTACTCCCCAGGTTACAGAGAGAAATAGGAAGAACTCCTGTCACCCTTTTCCCCTTTTTGTCTTTTCAACCTCCTGATGCAGATGTTTGCCTCCTGAGTCCACATTTCGTTGACACCTCTTTGATGCCCTTCACTTTCAGGATGTTGTGACAAATACAGCATAGGTCCCTGTGGTAGTGTCCGCTTACACACAGCCTGCTGAAGATTCAGCCTTGCTACAAGCAGAAAGTGAATTACTGACATCCCATCCAAGGGATGAGAACAGGCAAATAGTGAAGAGACTTGGGGGAGGGAGTGGGAGTGAGAAGAATTTTAATAGCTAAACATGAGAAAGTACTGAACTACAGTTCTGCAAACTCATCAGTAGAATATGATCTGAGTCGGACACTTGTGTAGTTCTCCATGTTGTAGATTGATGGATCAAAGAATGCAGCATCATCTCAGCACAAAGAGACTCTATAGCATATTGACTGATCTGTTGACATGCTTAAAGATGTAGAACTATCACAGCAGATGTGCAAGTTGACTTAAGAATTATAGAATTCAACAGCATCTTCTTGGGAAACTGTTGGGGTATATTGGAGACTAAGACCTTACTATTGACTCAGGCACCTCAGAAGTAGTGGGAAGATCACTGTGATCTTCTATACATTATCAGGAAAGATTGTTTACACATAAGCAAACCTGGTTACACAAAGGATATTGAGACACAATGTCTCTTGAGTTCAAAGAAGCATGAGGACAATAGGGAAGGTGAATGGACTTAACTACGCTTGGATAACAACTTGCTCCAAACGCTCTATAACTGGTCCCAAACTTTTTCCGAGTGATGGGGTGGTGTCTCTGGTAAGGAATCTTTACTGAGATGATCATTTTTAGTCATAATCCTGTGGTTTATCAGATCACAATACTCAATGTGATTATCACCTTGACTGAAAGTTATGCCATAGTTGGTGAGAGCAGTGTTGTCATGCAGCTTGACAAAGTGGTACAATGTGTGAGATATCAGCACTATAATAAGAACGTCCTCACTGAAACCTGCCATCTGTTGCAGCTTAAATAATAAAAATGATTACATTGCCAGCAACTACCAAGGTGAATGTGCTGATAAATATTTTGTACTGGTTCCTTCCAGGCTGAAGCTGTAGATACTTCAAACATCTTGCAATTTTCTGTCCACTGTTGCATTAGTGATATCATTGGGATTCTCAATTCAACAAGTGTTAAGTAAATTTCAATCCCAAATACAAATGCAAAATGCTATGAATTCAGGCAATATGAGCTAAAAGCAGAAAATGCTGAAAATAGCAAGTCAGGGAGCATCTTTGGAGACAGAAACTCAGGGAGGATGCTGCAGGTAGCATTTAATGAGGCAGGAGGGTGCTAGGTATAGACCACTACCTTTTTGCTACTGGTCTGGTTAAGTCCAGGCCAGCAGGCTCATAGATGGCCTCCCTGCCATATTGCCAATTGAAGCAATGAATGGTGTTCTTACGGGTATCAACTCATTGCCATTGAGTGAATACATGTGGGAAGCCTGAAATGTAAACTCTGACGTGTTTGCTTGCAGAATTCTGGGGTAGGGTGGAGTCCCTCAGTGCTGAAAGGCTACCCTTTCTACCAAGTGCTGACCCCATTCCCCAGCACCCTGCAACCCGTCTCCCATCATCACTTATCTGTGCCCAAATCCATGGCAATCATAAGCCTCAGCTTGGTGTGGTACCAGCAACTTCACTGGCTGTACAGTGGTACTGCTAAGTAATGAAGATCTACTGAGCTATCAAGAGATGCTTGCCTCAGATTGGCAGGCAGTTCTTGGCAGGGAGGACTACAGCCTGCAACTGCCTGAATTCGGTGGAAGACCTGCCATTAGCAATTAGCTGGTACTTAATTTCATGGGCTTTCATCAAAAGAGGTGACATAATAGATCATCACCTCTCCAACCAGTGGGTAAGATCCTTGTTGCTCCCATCAAATACTAGCTACGTGATTAATCTTTTAGGTCAATCAGTCTTTAAAAGAATTGAAAAACATAATAGGTTTTAAGAAAGTGAAAGGAAGGGGGTGAAAAGGAACAAAAGTGATGCAATGAAAAACAGGACAGATTAAATGACCAATGTGTTGGGAATGCAGAATCAAAGGGAGAAATAAAAGATGTGTATAGAATCAAAGGATGTGCCTCAACTTGTAAATTAGAAAAGGACCAGGCTCCAGCTGTGGGACAGGAAGGGATAATTTAAAAAGTAAACAACCAGAAAGGAGAAGCCAGTGGGCCTAATAGAGGCCACAGATAGGCCAAACAATTGATCATGAGGAACCTTGGGATCGCAGGTAGGGAAAAGGAATTATTAGATTCAGGTAGTATGAAAGATAGGTAGCATCCACAAGGAGTGAATAGCAGGAAAAATAGAATAGCAAAAACAAAAATTAAAAACACAGCTGGGAAAAGTTGAAACAAGAAATATCATTTAATGAACCTGGAAACAATAAAGTCATATGGGGTAGATCTGGTGTATAACAAAATTAAGAGTACTTTGGGGAGGACTCAAAGTTGAGTACAAAGATAAGTAGACATAACTTACAGTTCAAGTTAATACTTAGAAGTTAGACCCAAGCTTGGTAAAGTTCTGGAGTGAGAAGTAGGATTTTCCTCGAGAAATTTTGTGTGATAATTATGCCCTCCCACCACCAATTTAACCCCCAATCCAGCTTGTCATGGTTTTAACAGTATTGGGCAAATTTTTAACTGCTGATGAAACTTTTACAATCTGTGTCTACATAAAATTAAACTTCCAAGTGCAGCATTGGTGGGAAGCAAAGCTGTTTGGCACCAACATTGTAGCTCTAGTGCAAATACAATCTGACTCAAAGTTAGGGCTCAACATCACACTACAGCCTGGAGGAGGCCAACTCTTTCTGCTCCACTTCAGAATTACTATGAGCCTTGGAAGTTTAGTTCTAGGTGCAAAGCCTAAATATATGGTGGGTATACAGCTTAACCATACTTGACCAATGTTCAGAATTTTTTTTAACAGAAATATAATCTTGACAAACTCATCACTAATATTGCTATGCAGAAGTGATGATGGCATGTTTCAAGTTTGCCTGCAAATACTATAATGTTAAAAATCTAATCAAGCTCCCATTCACATCTTGACACAATCAAACCTTGTCATAGACCATATTGGAATAACTTGTGCTATGTGATTTATATCATCTAAAGCTTTTTTTTCATTTTTACCAATGACTATTACCATTCACTCATCAGTTTTGTTGAAGGATATATAACGGAAACATATTGAATTGCCTTTACTTTCAAAAAAATGCTGACTGACCTCAGATGTATTTCCAGCATTTTCTATTTTAATCTGAACATTGGCTGAATGTTGGCCTTCAGACACATACTTTTCTGCTTTGATGTTATTGTTCACTATGTGGCATTTTGGATTTGAAAGCTAATATCAAAACATGATTGCAGTGAATCCCAGGGGTTAAGGACTGTTATGATCACCTGATTTGATTGCAATGACAACGAGACATCTTTATGATGTAATCACTGTGTGCAATTGAGAAATACGGTTGACACCAACTACATTAATTTGTTTGTAACAGTAATTATTTACCTCCTAATACAAAGTAAAACCTTGCAGATGCTAGAAATCTGAAGATGTAAATACCAAGTGCCAGAAATACATCGTGAGTCAGGCAGCATGTGTGGAAACAGAAATAGGCTGAATCTTATGTTTTTCTCGGTTGTGAATTTCATTGAGTTTCATGGAGGGGTTTTCAACATGAGGTGATAGGAGTTTTCTTGTGTTATTGTCCCAATCCTACCTCATTAATTACTATCCAACCCTTCACATCCGATGCTAGCCCAACTCTATAACTTGCCACATCTGGAAGAACTGCCGTTGATGGTATATCCTGGAATGAACTGGCATCTGTGGCACTGGCAACATGTTTAAAAGGCCCTTGTGAATCTGGGAAAGCACTATCAGTCCAGCGTTGCCTTACATGGTTCGTGACATTTGCTCTGGACATGGAAGCTACGGAGAAATTAGTGCCCTGCTTTGTGGACAGACATCTGGAGGTACTATGGACAGGGTGGTGCAGAGGAGGGATGCCCTCTTCCCCCAAGAGCACCAGACTCCGCCAGCCTGGTTCAAGGTGC